CAAAGTCACCACGCATTCCGAGCACAAGTTCAAAGGCCACAAGGCCAGTTCACATGCAAGATCATATATAGAGAATACAAGAGCAAGAGTATATATATGCGAAGGTACAAGCAAGGTCAAGAGGAGAGCAAGTGAGGCAAGACAGGAACAAGACCCAACTGCGTGCAGCAACGCTGATGATCACAAGGCGCAAGTGCCTTGGTGAAGACATCAGCAGTGTTGGCCTCAGAGGCCACGTACGCAAGTCGCAGCTGTCCACGCTGCTGTAGCTCACGAGCAAGAAAGTAGCGAAGAGCAATGTGCTTCGTTCTGTGCTCCAGTCGCTGCTCTCGACACAAGGCCAGCATGGCCTTGTTGTCTACGTACAGGACTGGAGGAGAACGAGGCTGCTCTCCAAGGTCGGTCAGCAGGTAGGTGAGCCAGCGTAACTCCTGTGCAGCCATAGCCCCAGCGTAGATCTCAGCCTCACAACTGGAGCCGAGAACAGAAGACGAGCGGGTAGCCCGCCACGAGACAGAGCCGGAACCAAGGCTGAAGGTGTAACCCTGTGACGACCGCTGCGTAGCCTGGTCGTCAGCCCAAGAAGCGTCTGCGTGCCCAGTGAGGACCACTGGACTGCGCCCTCCAAGCACTAGCCCCATGCCCGACGTACTGCACAAGTAGCGCAACACCCTCTTCGCTGCAGCCATGTGCTCTGGTCGGTGTCTCCCAGGAGCAACAAAGCGTGCGAGAATGCTAAGAGGGTATGCGAGGTCAGGCCGTGTGCAGGTCATCAGGTACATGAGGCAGCCAACAAGCTCTGCAAACGGGCCACTCGACTCTACGGACTCATCCGAAGGCAGAGCTGAGAGCGAGTGGCGAGTAGGCAGAGGAGTGGCCTGAGGCGAGGAGTACGTGAAGCCGAAGCGCTGAAGGACCTGCTGCACCATGTGTGACTGAGTCAGGGTAATGGTGCGGCGTGCTCTGTCCCGGGTGATCTGCAAGCCAAGGTAGCTGCGCAGTTCACCCAGGTCAGTGCACGTGTGTCTCTTCTGCAGCTCGGACTTCACGTAGGCGAGTCCAGCAGTGTCAGCTGTGGCAAAGACCAAGTCGTCGACGTACACGAGGATGTAGAACGGCGGCAGAGAGGTGTCGGTGCGCAGAAACAGCGACGGGTCGGCAGTGGAAGGAGCAAACCCAAGTGCCGCGAGCGTAGTCCTCAGTGTGTCGTGCCACTCACGTGGCGCCTGGCGGAGACCGTAGACTGGACGCCGGAGACTCCACTGGGTACCAGGAGGGAAAGACCCAGTGAAGCCAGGTGGGCGACGCAGCCAGATCTCCTCGTGCAGGCTGCCCTGCAAGAAAGCTGTGCTGAAGTCGAGAGAGTGCAGCTCGTAGTCACGGTGAGCAGCAACGTGTAGCAGAACCCGAAGAGTGGTCATCTTCGGGGTGGGGGAAAAGGTCTGAAAGTAGTCAACCCCCTGCCGCTGACTGAAGCCACGAGCCACGTAACGCGCCTTGAAGACAGGCGGAGAACCCGGCGGCCGCTTCACCCTGAAAATCCACATGCCACTGACGATGTTCGCCCCAGGAGGGGGAACAGCGTCAACGTAGGTGCCTGTGGACTTCCAGGAAGCCATCTCTGCATCCATAGTTGCCTGCCACTGAGAGGAGTAGGGACCCTCTATCGCCTCCGCGTAAGAGCGCGGAGTCGGGATGTCTGGTGCATCCGGGTCTCCCTCAGGGGCTAGCAGTACAGACGCGAGACAAGGTGAAGCGGCGGCCAGACACTGGAACTCCTCCTGCCTGTCCTCAAGGACGTCCGTGCCAAGGGCACACTCACCCCCGACGGACGGAGGACAGGCGGACTCAGACTCAGTGACAAGACGAGCAGCGTAGTCTAGACGACAGCGCGCAGCAAAGTCGACAAGCTCAGTGACAAGGGCAGACGCAGCAGACGACTCGAAGGAGGGGTCAGTGACAGCAGTAGCCAGGAGACGCGTAACAGTAGGACTGGCAGCACGAAGAGCGTCCGACTCCGGGTCGGCAAGAGCAGGAAGAGAGGAAGCAGGAGGAGAAGGCAAAGGGGCACGCAGAGGAGCAGTGGACGGACGCAGAGACATCCGGTGCGTGCCAGGGACAGGAGGAGGACGCTGACGCGACCCGCGACCACTAGCGCGCTCAGTACGAACAGGCGACACAGGACGAGACGCAGGCTCACGACGCTCAGTAAGACCTCCAGTTGGACCAGCGTAGGGAGAAGGAGCAGGCAAAGGGGAGGCAGGCTGTAGCTGTGGCTGTGACCGGACAGGCTGCGGACCCTCTAAGGTAGGAGGAGGAGGTGTAAGACCAAGAACCTGCTGCAGGAGCGGAACGAAGTACGGTCGGGGCCGCGCGGCGACGCTAGAAACAACAGGAACAGCACCAGCAGCCCCGGCAGGAGCACCCACTCCAGTAGCACCTCCAGCAGCACCACCAGAAGCTCCAGAACCTCCAGCCGCAGCACCAGGAGCACTGTCAGTCGGGCCGCCAACGGCAGGCTCAGCGCCAACACCCTCAGCAGGACCAGCTCCAGGAGAACTCTCAGACTCAGCAGCTCCAGCACCCACAGTACGAGCGCCGGCGGGGCGCGCAGCAGCAGTACCCTCTGCAGCCGAAGAACCACCAGTACCAGCAGCACGCCTCCAGCGCCCGGCAAACCACTCACGCAGCTCCTGTGGGGAGAGTGGCTCCCGGCGAGACGAAGCACCCCCAGGCACAGCACCTCCAGGCTCAGCACCCCTAGACACAGCACCCCTAGGCACGGCACCCCCAGGCTCAGCACCCCCAGGCTCAGCACCCCCAGGCACAGCACCCCCAGACTCGGCACCTCCAGACTCAGCACCCCCAGGCACAGTACCCCCAGGCTCAGCACCCCCAGACTCGGCACCTCCAGGCTCAGCACCCCCAGACTCCGCACCCCCAGGCTCAGCTCCCGCAGCAGCACCAGAGTCACCAGTGACCTCGACAGGCTCGACCGCGTCTACCTGGGACACACCTGAAGGGGCAGGACCCTGAGGGGGGAGGGGGACTACCGGGGGGGGACCTGGTACCAAGAAGAGCGGGGGTAGGGGGAGGGACGGAGTGCGGTAGGGGAAGAGGCGGTAGTAGGGTACCGACTCGTCGAACGTGACGTCCTGGGAGGACAGAACACGTCGAGAGGTGGGGTGGTAAAACTGCCACCCAGGGGCGTCGGGGGGGAACCCCATGAAGACGCAGGGAGAAGCACGAGGGGACAGTTTGTCCGCAGACAGGTCGCGAACAAACGCCCTCGATCCCCAGACCCGGAACGCCGACGCATCGCCAACCTTCCCCGTCCACAGCAGGGCTGGGGAGGTCTCCGGTCGAGAGACCCTGGGGTGGAGGTTGATCTGGTGCGCAGCGTACCTGACCGCAAACGGCCACAGAAAATGGGGAGCAGCCGCATGCATCATGGACGTACGAGCGACGTCCATGACCATGCCAATGCGGCGCTCAGCAATCCCATTCTGCTGCGGTGAGTCCGGAAGCGTGAAGGTCTGACGGATGCCTCGCGCACGACAGTAGGCACTCAGGAGGCCAGAGGAGAACTCTCCGCCTCTGTCCGAGTGCAGACGCAAAACAGGGAAGTCAGAGCCAAAGCTCCTCCGAAGCTGGAGACGAGCTGCGCGGATCCAGTCGATCAACACCGCAGTGACCTCACCCTTGCTGCGCAAGGGGAAGACTGTGGTGTAACGCGAGTAGTCGTCAACCACCAGCAGGAAGTAGCGCTCGTGACCCTGTCCACGGACGCGGGCTGGGCCCCACACATCCATGTGAAGCGTCTGCATCGGGGCCTCTGTCGGAGGAAACTGGGAGGAGTGAGGGGCAGCACGCTGGCGCCCCTCGACACAGGGGACACAGGTGGGGCCAGGGCCCGGAGGAAGGGGAGGGAGAGACCGGGGAAGACCAGACACTAGGACTCGCGAGGCCATGCCCCTGAGCCGAAGCAGAGAGGGGTGGCCAAGGCGGTGGTGCCAGAGGAGGGTCTCGTGAGACAGACGACGGCACGAGCAGGGGGCAGACTCAGGACCAGACCTGGACGCTGCAGCAAACACCTGACCAGACGAAGTGACCCTACCAGACTCAGCACCTGGAGGAGAAGCAGTGGTCAGAGTGTACAGGCTCGACCCTGGCCGACGTGTAAACGTAGCCAGGTGGCGACCTGTATCCGCCTCCGTGCAGTGGGTCACCCGCTGACGAGCAGGGGTGAACTGGTGGACACCCGCATCCTGGAGGTCAGCACCACTCACCAAGTTCGTCGAGAACGAGGGGAGGTAAAGACCAGTCAGGGTGCCAGAGGGGGCCGCCGGACACGGGAGGACAGTGGAGAAGCGAGACAGGACAGGCCCCCCAGAGGGGTCAGCCAGGGACACCGCAACCGGCCGACTCAGCGGCGTGAGAGTGGTGCGGTCCCGAAAGAAGGAGCGAGACGCTCCAGAGTCAAGGGTGAAGGTGTGAGAGGCCGAAGCCGACACAGTACCTGAGAGGGCAGACTCACCAGCACCTGAGAGCACAGACGCACTGGCACCTAGAGCAGCAGCCTCACTAGTACCTGACGCGGCAGTACCAATGCCCGGATCGGGCGGGAAACACCGGTAACAGTCATCCTCATCACTACCAATCGCAGCATACATAGCAGAGAGAATAGCATCAAAATCAAGATCATAAATAGCTACACCAGCCCTAGACAGCTCTCCCCAGCGGGGGATCTCAGCTGCCTCCGGAAACTGCTGCCGCCAGGCGTCAGTCAGGCGGCCAAAGCAGCGGCGGGCAGTGTGGGCGCCTCCACACCTCTCCCCTGCACGGTCACCGGTGCGGAGAACGTAGGGGCAAGGACCAAGCGCACCACCACGCTGACGCTGCGAGTACCACTCACGGAGCTGCTGAGGGGCGGGGACGGTGCGAGAGCGCTGCTGCTGCTGTGGCTGCTGCTGCGGCTGCTGCTGCTGCTGCTGCTGGCGCTAACCACCCCCGGAGCTGCTCCGCTGGGACGAGCCACTCCGACCCCCGCCTCCACTGCCACCCCCGCCTCCACCGCCACCCCCGTCTCCACCTCCACCTCCCCCACCAGGACCGTCGCTCCCACCGCTCCCACCGCCTCCTCCACTACCACCTCCGCCGCCACCTCCGCCTCCACCGCCGCCACCAGTACCTCCACTTGCGCCACCACCCCCACCGCCACCCCCACTCCCCCCGCCACCCCCACCGCCTCCTCCACCGCCCCCTCTAGCCCCACCCGCTCCCTTGCCCCCCTTGCCCTTGCCAGTGCGGCGTCTGCCGCTGGGGGCAGACGCCGCGCCGACCGACTCAAAACCAGTGAGGTCGGCCGCAGCGGCAGAGGCGACAGAGGGCAGCAGGGGGGAAGGACCACACCCCTCAAAGATGGGGGTGCGAGGGTCACCCCGAGAGGCCCCTACAGCGACAATACTCTTCTCAGCCGCTAGCAGGGACTCCTCAAGGAGGTCGACAGTGAGAGTGGTGGGACAGACAGAGAGAAACTGGTCCCTAACGGCACGAAGGGACTCAGGGAGACGGGTGACGAGAAAGTAGAGAGTGATGTACATGGGAGGGGGGTTCGCAGCGCGGAACTCAGCAGGAAGGGCAGCGCGGTAGCGGGTGTCACTAGCACGGAGGTGGGTAACGAGGTCAGCGACTGTGGGAAAGGAAGCGAGGTCAGGGAAGAGAAACGGTAGCATGAGGCGGCTAAGGGTAGCGGAGGAAGGGGAGGAGTAGCGTGCAACTACAGTGTCGTACAAGGCCTGAGCGGTCTTGCACTGACTAAAGTGGGCACGCTCAGAGGAAGGGAGGTGGCGACGCACAGCAAGACGTGCAGCAGCATCGCGGGTCGCCCACTTGGAGCGAACGGCAGAGTCAGCATCAGCAGGTGGGGCAGGGACAGCGCCAGAGACAAAGTCAAAGAGAGAGACCTCATCTATCGCATCACACAGTAAATACAGCTGCAGGTCTTCAATCCAGACGGCAAAGTCAATGGCCCTCCCCTCAGCGTCAAAGGTAAGAACATTGGGGGTGGCCATGACAGCAGCTGAAAATCTCACCGGGCTGGGAGAGGCGGGTAGGTCAGCAGCAGAGGAACAGCAGCACGGCTCCGCAGGCGGCTCGGGCGGCGCGGGCGGCTCGGGCGGCACGGCGGCGGCTCGGGCGGCGGCTCGGCGGCGGCTCGGCGGCGGCCCGGCGGCGGCTCGGCGGCGGCTCAGGCGGCGGCTCGGCAGTGGCTCAGGCGGCGGCGGCTCGGCGGCGGCTTGGCTGCTGCTGGGCGGCGCGGGCGGCTCGGGCGTCACGGGCGGCTCGGCGGCGGCTCGGGCGGCTCGGCGGCGGCTCGGCGGCGGCTCGGCGGCGGCTCGGCGGCGGCTCAGGCGGCGGCGGCTGCTGCTGGGCGGATCGGCGGGGCCGCGTAGCAGAGTGGCGGCAGGGCCGCGACCGAAGAGAGCGGCGGGGCCGCGTAGCAGGGGGCGGCGGGGCCGCGTAGCAGAGGGCGGCGGGGCCGCGTAGCAGAGGGCGGCGGGGCCGCGATCGAAGGGCGGCGGGGCCGCGTAGCAGAGGGCGGCGGGGCCGCGTAGCAGAGGGCGGCGGGGCCGCGTGGCAAAGGGCGGCGGGGCCGCGATCGAAGGGCGGCGGGGCCGCGTAGCAGAGGGCGGCGGGGCCGCGTAGCAGAGGGCGGCGGGGCCGCGAGGCAGAGGGCGGCGGGGCCGCGAGGCAGAGGGCGGCGGGGCCGCGTAGCCGAGGGCGGCGGGGCCGCGATCGAAGGGCGGCGGCGGGGCCGCGTAGCAGAGGGCGGCGGGGCCGCGATCGAAGGGCGGCGGGGCCGCTAGGGAAGGGCGGCGGAGCCGCGAGGGGAAGGGCGGCGCAACGGTCCGCTAGGGGCGACACGACGGGTCGCTAAAAAAAAAAACGTGCCTCGGGGCGCGGTTCGGTGGGCCCTAGAAGCAGTCCCTAGGAGGGAACCTGCTCTGATTCCATGTGAAAACAAAGAACGAGAATGAATGACTATGAAGTGAAGTGAATACAAATAGGAAACCCTAATGTGTTGTACCCCCTATGGGATACCCCACTATAGCCTACACAAACAAGTAAGCTATATGTTCTGACAGTGCGATCTCAGAATCCCAACCACTAACCATTGGGATAAAAGGGCTTGTTTCAGTAGCGGGTCAGTGCGCCCATAACCCCCCAGGCAACCGTGCTTGTAACCCTTTCCTAGGATCAATCGGGGATCACCAGTGGACCTCTGACACCCCCCCGCACTGGGATGCCCGAAGTGCATACACCGGGATTCGAACCCGAGACCTTCGCTCTGATACCATCTCAGAATCCCAACCACTAACCATTGGGATAAAAGGGCTTGTTTCAGTAGCGGGTCAGTGCGCCCATAACCCCCCAGGCAACCGTGCCTGTAACCCTTCCCTAGGATCAATCGGGGATCACCAGTGGACCTCTGACATGCGACTCGGGCAACTGCTCAATGTCGAGTCAGTTGTTTGTCCTTGCTGTCGCGCTGCGTCAGGTCAAAGGTCGCTGCCCTTTGACTTTCCCGTAACCTCCGACGGTTACGTTAACCTCGTTGGTTGACTCGCGCTGTTCCGACTTGAGCTGCTTCGTTTTGTGTCTTGAGTATTGACACGACAGAGACGCTTAACTTATTTGTTCCCAACATAAGGTACGATCGCTAACAGACACGTAAGTGTGAAATAGGTTCTAACATACTTGTTCATACTAAATTAAATTTGGTGTTCTTTTGAAACTCTAAAATATTAACTTCCAAAATATTCCCCGCCAAGGGAGTGGCAATGATTGAAAATAAAACAGCATTTCTTAATCGGATATTCCGCATTCATCTTGATGAGCACTATTTGTACTGTAACTATATTTATAGGGTTGATGCATATATATTCATGATGTGCACTGTACAAAACATGGACCTTCACTATGGGAAATTTTGTTTCAATAAGGTATTTGCCATTTTTTTTGCGGATATATTTGCAAGCATTTACGTCTAAAATATATATTCTCTTACACTTGACTGCCTATCTTAAGTTATGGATGATTGTGTTTTAGGGCTATAGTAATTTTACGCAACAAAACATTTCTACAGCGCGCTCCAGAGTCGCCAAAAGGATACGCCAGCCAAAGCGCAGAAACTTGGGGGATGGGTGCGACAGGTTGCGCATACACCCCACACTCGTGTGCACTCTTTCTTGATTGCCTGCGCATTGTAACACTCGAAATACATGCTCATACCCCCTCCAGAGGCCCAAAAGTGGCGTCCCATTTTTTGTTGAGTCCATCTGAGCCCTGGTGGATTCGAATCCACCAGGTGCCCCTCCTGGTGGCAGCCGTTTCCACCAGGACGCGGAGCCGGCGGAAGCTGTCTGCCCGGGGGCAAAAAAAACGATTCCCCATCGCGACCGGCATGGCGTTCGGGAGCCTCAACCCTAAAATTTTAGGGTTGATGCCTCCCGAGCCGCGTGCCTTCCGGATGGGTTTTAGTTTTTTTTCTTGCCCGCGGGCAGATCGCTTCCGCGAGCACGCGGAAGCGGTCTTGGATTCGCCCGTGTTTAATTGTTCCTGCTCGTATGAACCTTTGAGTAATCCGCGACTGTTAGCAAGCCCACGCCAGATCATACGTTGTGGGAGCATGCACCTTGGGATGCCGTGGATACGCTACTATATACCACCATACTACGAATTGGGAAAAGTTTGTCCGTTCCGTTCAAAGACAGAGACGGAGGCGGAGGAGGACCAAAAAAAAAAAAGGGCGTGTGGTACTGTACTGTGACCCGAGTCACCCGAGGCTTCTCGAGAAGGACCCTTGTTTCGCACATATGTATGTGTAGTGAGTTGATCACTCAGGAAATACAAGCCTTCGGAACCAGAATGATCGATCACTCACTACGCACACCCCACCTGCGCCTCACGCGCATTCTTCGCAACACACCACTGTACTGAACTGTGATGGCGCGTCGATCAGAAAGGAGTGAGGCGAGCGTATCTGCGAAGAGATACGATGCGATGCGAACGAAGGCTGAGTGGCTAAACGTCTTCAGTTGACCCTTGGAAAATCGAAGGTGAACTGTCTCAAGACTGTCCTTTCAGAGAGGCTCGACACTACGACTCCCCTAGGCCTAGCTGGGCAAACGTGATGTTGGACGAGATCGGCGGCGCTCCTTGTTCAGATCGCCGCCGTAACGAGAACCGCCTGGCAAGGCGAACAATGGGATACTTTGTCACGTCCGGCACCATCGCCTTCCAGCCTATGTCACAGACTTGCTGTTAACATCACACGCCACAGCGGAAAGCTCCTTGAAATGGAAATCGCCACGCAAAACAATGGATCCAATGGCCCGTGCATACATTACGGCCAAAATGGGCGGGTGAATTGTCAGAGGAAAATCCAGATGGGATATTCGAGAAAGAGCCAACAAGAGAGCAAATACACCCTGTTTCGCGCTACACTGTTAATGGCTATACTAACTGATCGGATGTACACACATCAATGCGTCCAGGATGGTCCATGCACATACGATATAAGCACGTTTGCCCGCACTCAACCGTACCCCAAAGCAAGTTGTTTTCTGAAAACCGTTGTGTACCGTTCACCAGGAGTCCATTTGTCCGTCACTACCTGCAGTTCGGCTGTAAGCACGAGACCGCTACGTTCCAAGCAACAGTACACACTGTAGCCTGTGAATCTCATTGTCAGTGTAGCGCAAAAGAGGGTGTACACCTAACCACCGCTATTTTCAAGGGGAAACCCAACCCACTAATCTCGCGCTTCAAAGTTACCCTGCAGCACTTTTTCGTCTATTTCAGCTCGACACTTAGATGACTGGGGCTATGAATGACGCCTAATGCTCGAAGTTTAAACTCATTATACGAATCTGAATCCATAGCGCCACTTCTACAGTACTCTCGTCGGGGATCTGGAACAGACTCTCGCTAAAATTTAATGATGCCCCACACAACCCTCGGTCAAAGATTTACCGTAGAAAGGGTGCATACCCCACTTGTGCAAGTGGGGTTGAAAATAGACCGAAAGAAAATAGCGGTGGTTAGGTGTATACCCACGAGATTAATCAACCGATCATGTTTGACAAAGAGTAGGGAGCACCAAGACATGATTGACAAAGAGGGCGATTGGGGCAACTGCGGTGCTAGAGAAACCAGCCGATCGTCGAGGTGATTTCCGCCAGAGAGGGTACGCGCAGAAGAGGCGGCGTTTGCAGGGTGGTGGTGTGCCTCAATTTGAGGTGAGGTTTTTTCGATTGCAAAAACAAAAGGTGAAACATCGGTTACCCAGTTGAGTTTTTTCTCACCGGTTACCCTAGTGCAGAAGAATGATTAACCACTGGGGCAGGCCCTCAGATTCGTTTTTGGCCTGTCTGATTCGTCAGACTAGTACACAATTTTAGTCTGAAAATCTCAGAGTTGGTATAAAAAAAAGGCTGAAATTTCAGAGTGTCCCAAAAAAAAAGTCTGATCATTCAAAAACAATGTATTCAATGTTTCATCGGAATGTAATCAATGTTTCATTCGTCTGCTACCGAAACACACAACACTAAGGGGATTTCCGATAAAGCATGCTGTGACAGGGCGAATATATGTGTCAGGGCGAATCTTGTGGTGCGAAAGAGCGAATCTGCAATGTCAGGGCGAATTTTCTGTGATTGGTCGAAAAGTATTGTGCTCTGACAGCGCAAATCTGTTGTGTCAGGGCGATTTTGCTATGATTGGGCGAAAATCTTGTGCTGTAAGGCTCGGATTTGCTGTGTCAAGGCGATTTTGCGTCGACATTGCGAATCTGTTGTGACCCGTAAGTCCAAATCACCAGTCAAGGACGCGTTTGTACTCTGAATTGTTGGGCTGAGATAGCCCCTTAGGATCTTTGCAAGGGATAACTCTAGGTGAAGTAGTTGTAATAGCGGAAGCGTTTAGTGAAGAATTTGAACCGACCTTGCACTGGTGTGTGAGAGCAAAGTTGATTGAATTAAACAAGCAAATACAAGGATTTATATAAGAG